TAAAAACAATTATAAGAAAAGAAGTACAGTCTTTACTCAAGACATTCTTACTCTACAGGAGATAATCAGTAGTGATCAAACTACCAAGGGTGATTTGGAGCAATAAAACATCAGTATTTACTTCCCGTATCCCAGGGGAGCCTTCAGGCACACCATGCATCAGGAGTTCCCATTAGTCCTTTGGGGTGTGACCTGGGGCATGGAGAAGGGGACTGGACCCCCCTCCCACAACCAGACACCCACACCAGTGCCTCGAGGCTTGCCCGGGGACCCGAGGTATGGAGCTGGGGATTGGACATTCTCCACAACCAGGCACACTACCAGCATCAAGGAGCATGCTAAAAACATCTCCATGTAGGTGGCTCACCACAACCACCATGATAACCATGGCTGCCGTGAAGGTGGCTAGACACCACAACAATGATGCACATGGTCCGCCAGCCACTGGAGTGCGTTAACACAAGGAGAGTCACCAGCAGAGATAAAGAAAGGAGGAGGATGTCTGTCTCCACAGAGCCCATTTCATAGTGACGGAAGAGGCGTCTGTTCTGTGATAGTATTGGGGGACCTGATCACATCTCTCAGCATTGGACAGATCATTTGGGCAGCAAATCAACAGAGTAACCATTATTCTTCCAGAGGATGAGAAGAAATCTAGGGTAATTAGAGGGGGGAGGAGGAGAGAAAGGGGGATGGGGAGGAATTGGAAAAGGGTCATAAATAATAATTATGATTTGTAACAATATATATACTAGTAATATTGATTTGATCAACATATCTCAATGTTGAACCCCCAAAATTTGTATAATCAATTTTGATTCAATAAAAATTTTTTTTAAAAAATTAAATAAATATCTAGTTCCCCTATTCCAGAGGAGCCTTCAGGCACACTGTGCATCAGGAGTTCCCATTGGTCCTTTGGGGCATGATAATTTGAAAGACAACAGGGATTGAGACCTGGCGGGCAGGGCAGTTTTGACCTTTTCTTTCTAAGTCTTTCCCAAGCAGCCTGGTTGAGTGGGAGCGGTGGAATAGGAATATGTGGGCCAACAGCTTGGATTACTCTATACCCTATGCTAGATGGCCTTGCCATAATTTGTCTTCTAAACTGTCTCTCAGAAGGAGAACTGGTGAAAAGAGTGGGCAGGAAAGGAGTTTGAGCTCATATGATCCCTCAATTTACACCACTGTTTTCTTAAGCCTACTCCTTGTAAATTGAGGGATCAGATGAGATGAAGCATCGTTGAAATCATTCCTTAAGCCCAGTAATTGAGGGAAGGCTCTGGCCTCATGTTTTTGTTGTTGTTTGAGCTTCAAAAGGGTTTGAACAGTAGGAAGAGACTGGAGGACACAGTCTGACTTCCCCTGAACCTCTCCCACCTGAGAAGACCAACTTTTGATTTTTGGTCAACTTGTTATGCTGTTGGATATTTCATGAAGCTTTTTACAATCAAATTCTTTTTTACTTCAAAACAGACAATATGCTGTACAGCTGTATCTTTAGTCTTGAATCTCACAAAGCTGCTCAACTGGTTGGTTGAGCAACAGATTGTTGATGTGCTTCCTTGTTTTCTCATTGGCTGGATACTTTCACTTATTGAGCATGCCTGGGTTTTTGTCTTCCAGCAATATCCAGACTATTATGCAATAATTAAGGAGCCTATAGATCTCAAGACCATTGCCCAGAGGATACAGGTATGAGTGACCATGTGTAACCATATTCAATTTAGAGCAGATTGGCCTGTGGTCTTTCTTAGGGCTTTTAGAAAACAAGGAAGTAGATGTCTCCGTAAGGGTTATTTGCAAATAATATAAACAGATTTAAGTATTGTTACTAATTATAGCTTTGGATTGCACTTTAGGACAAAAGTTTAAAAGCCCTGGTTACAGACATTTCTGATTGTGAAAGGTACATTGGCAAATAAAAGCTTTGTTTATTTTTTTCCACTTCCAAATAGTTTTAGGATATCTTAGAATAAAAGTTACCTACAACAGATGTTAGAGTATAAGATTAGTGAAAATAGATACTTTGCCCTCTTCTACCTCTCCTCCCTCTTCTCTTCCCCTCACTGTATCCCCAGCAGTAATAGCAGCAACTAACACTAATATAAACTAGCTGTGTAACTAGCAGTGTTCTAAGTGCTTTATATCTATTAGCTAATTAATTCTTACAACTCCATGAGTTAGGTACTGTTATTATTCCCATTTTATAGATTAGAAAACTGAAGCACAGAGACGTTAAGTAACTTGCCCATGTTACCAGCTGGTAAGGAGAAAAGCTAGGATTTGAATCCATTCAGATTAAAAGCTAGGATTGAATCCAGAGTCTATGCTCTTAACTCCTACACTTACTGTCTCTCCCCAGAGTAGATGCTCGGTAAATATTCATTGAATTGAATGAATGGCTAGGATTTAAAATATGATGATGAGACATTAAGGAAAGTATAGGAAGAAAGAACTGAATTATATCAGAAATCTAGTTTTTAGAGTAGAATTGATGTGGTTCTTTTCCTGTGTGTGCTTCTTACTAGCTATGTCACTTTGTTCTGGTGACTTGCTTCCTTCCTCTGCTGTGCATTGGGTATAGTATTGCCACTTTGCAAAGTCATAAAGGTCAATAATAATGTATTATAAAGCATCTCACATAGCACTTACAGGGTGAGGCCCCAGTAAATGTGTCACTGATCCTCCCAGGGTAAGGAGGGTTTGCTGCTCTCAGGAGATGAACCAAAAAGGAAAATTTAATGTATTACATAGTCTCATGGAGAGATGAGACTAAAACTTAATGTGTTACATACATGGTCTCATTGAGAAATGAGGTTTGCCAGGAGGGAGAAACTTCTCTGGCTTTAAATTGTAAGAGAGTAAGTAGTAAAGAGTAACAATGTAGTAACTACTGGTAACATAGATACATTTTCACAAAATGTTAAAATACAGATTCCCTAGTGTAACATCTGGTTTTTAACGCAGCCCAATAACTGCTACTGAGAATGACTGAAGTCTCTGAAATCCCTGAGGTTTCTAACATCTATCTGAGGGGTGATGTTTTCATAATACTGAAAAACAAATCAAATCTTTAAACACCTCTACTTCAGCCCCTGTCTTCTTTCTCTGACCTCTCACCTTATCTTGTCCCTTCTTCCTTCCAAAAGTCACAGAGTTACCTTCTTTTGCCATCACTCCTAATCAAGATCCTTGTTCTCTTATGTCCAAAGTATTTGAAATAATCTTTCCTACCTCCCTGACAAAAAGCTCTCTAGTCCTTTCTACATCTTGCTTCCTGACCTTGGCTTCCTGCCATTCCACTGCTCACAGACTTCAGTAACTTGTTTTCTAATGCCTCCTAAAGCATGTCACAACTCCTTGTACCAGTTCAACAATAACCAACTCTGACTGACTTAAGCAGAAAGAGAGTTTGTGAAAAGGTATTGGATAGCTCATGGAATTGCTGGGATAGAAGGCTGGGGAACTAGCCTTTAGGTAATAGGCAGTACTAATGGATGTTCATGGTATAGCTGAGATCATGCACAGCTGCTTTGTGGTGCTATTGCTGTTACCACTGTCATTTGCCACTGTGAGCCCTGGATACTTGCTGTTCCCACTGCTAGACTCTCCTCCCCTGCAGGAGTCAGGATTGAATTCCTGCCATTCCCTGGCTATTGCTTTAGTCCCTCAAGACCCAAGTGTGAATTAACTGGCCCATGGTTATTTCCCTTTGCCCTGACTGCTAGGCTGCTGTCAAAGTGACTGTCTCTGCCCACTTTCATCCTCATGGTAAGAGGTAGGGCCCTCCCTACCACCTGTGCTGGAATTCTCTCCAAATACGAAGGACACTCAGATGTTGGGTAGTCCCACACGGCACATAACCAACTACTCTCCTTTGCTTGGCTCTCTGGATTCTGTGCCCTTTGTCCTTACCTAAGCTTGTACTTACAGTTTTACCCTTCCCCAGCCTCCACTCCACTTAATTTGGTTATCTCATTCTCTCCAAGACATGTCCTTTTCATTTCTGTGTACTTGTCATATGTACCTTTTTCCTAGAGTGTGTCCCTCCTTCCTCTCCTTTGTAAATTGAGGCAACTATATGAGTAGCCCTAGGTTATTTTGGATTGAGTAAACTTTAGAATATGAGAACTCTTGCACATAATAGGCACTCATAAAATGTTAGTCTCTGTGCTGGACTGATGTTTTACTTAATGCTGTTAAGTCCACTTTAATGAGTTAGTATTCATGAAGCACTTAGATTAGCACTTGGCACATAGTAAGCGCAACATGTTTACTAAATAAGACTCTTGCCTTATTTGATTTTTTTTTAAATTGTAAGTTATTTTTATGAGAATATTGTAGCTCTGGTTTTACTACTTATGTCAAAAACTTCTCTGTAAATGGGTAGTAGTAATAATTTATAAAAGAGAAAATGACTTTACATATTGTTCACTTATGTACTTTCTAATAAAGTCATGGGATATTGTAACAATTTAAAGTTATGAGGAGTTCTTTTTTTAAAAGATTTTACTGATTAACTCTTGTTAAGAGAAACTGCTATATTTTGTTATTTACTTTAGAATGGAAGCTACAAAAGTATTCATGCAATGGCCAAAGATATAGATCTCCTAGCAAAAAATGCCAAAACTTATAATGAGCCTGGTTCTCAAGTATTCAAGGTTAGTTTTTTGTCATTGCTGTTTTTATTGATAATAGTATATAACTTTAATTTAGAGTCTATAATTGTTATATAACAACTTTATTGAGATATAATTCACATACCATACGTTTAACCCATTTAAAGTATACAGTTTAACAGTTTTTAATATATTCACGGAGTTGCAAAATTACAACTTCAGTCAATTAGCTGTCATTCTTTATTTCCCCCAACTGCACCAGCCTTTGGCAACCACCATTCTTCTTTTCATCTCTATACATTTGCTTATTCTGGACATTTCATATAAATGTAATCATACAATATGCTGTATGGATTTCTTTGTGGCTGGATTTCTTCACTTAGCATAATGTTTTCAAAGTTCATCCATGTTGTAGTATATATCAGTACTTCATTCTTTTTATTGCTGAAGAATATTCTATTGTATAGATATGCTGTATTTACTCGTTCGTCAGATGCTAGATATTTGGTTTGCTTCTACTTTTTGGCTATTATGAATAATTATGCTTTGAACATTCATGTGTAAGTTTTTATGTGGATGTATATTTTCATTTCTCTTGGGTACATACCTAGGAATGGAATTGCTGGGTCATGTGGTAACTGTATATTTAACTTTATGAGGAACTGCCAAACTGTTTTCCAGAGTAGCTGTACCATTTTACATTCCCACCAGCAATGTACAAGTGTTGCAATTTCTTCACATCTTCATCAACACTTGTTTTCCATTTTTGTTTTTATTATTTATTATAGCCACCCTGGTGGGTGTGAAGTGGGATGTCATTGTGATTTTTTTTTTTTTTTTTTAAAGCTGACTGGTAAGGGGATCTTAACCCTTGACTTGGTGTTGTCAGCACCACACTCTCCCAAGTGAGCTAACCAGCCATCCCTATATAGGAATCTGAACCTGTGGCCTTGGTGTTATCAGCACCACACTCTCCCAAGTGAGCCATGGGCTGGCCCCATCATTGTGATTTTTGATTTGCATTTCCCTAATGATTAATGATGCTGAACATCTCTTCATGTGCATATTGGCCATTCATATATCTTCTTTGGAGATATGTATGTTCAGATTCTTTGCCCTTTTTTAATTGGGTTACTTATCTTTTTATTGTTGAGTTGTAAGAATACTTTATATTTTCTGAATATTAAATCCTTATCAGATATATGATTTACAAATACTTTCTCCTATTCTCTTGTCTTTTCACTTTCATGATAGTGTCCTTTGATGTACAAAAGTTCTTAATTTTGATATAGTTCAGTTTATCTATTTTTTCTTTGGTTACTTGTGTTTTAGGTGTCATATCAAAGAAACCATTCCCTGCCTAATCCAAAGTCATGAAGATTTACACCTATCTTTTCTTCTAAGAATTTTATGATTTTAGCTCCTACATTTAGATCTTTGATCCAATTTTAACCAATTTTTGTGTATGTGAGGTAGGAGTCCAAATTCATTCTTTTATATGGGATATTATTTCAGTACAATATGTTGAAAAGACAGTTCTTTCCCCATTTGATTGTTTTGGCATCCTGGTTGAAAATCGATTGATGATAGGTGTATGTGTTTATTTCTGGATTCTTGGTTCCATTTCATTCATCTGAATGTCTATCTTTATCCTAGACAAGGTTAGTTTTTGATTCATTTTTTAGTTAAATATTGATTTAATCCATGCATTTAAACTTCGTAAATATAAAGCACAATATATGTGTAGTGTAATACACAATGTAAAATGACTTTCATTGCTTTGCAGTTCCTTCTTAGAAGTTTCATTGTCCTATAATGAATAATTTCTTGTAGGAATTTCTTGAATACTTCATTGGGAATTTACTGAATGGAAGTCTCGAAGTAGAAAGAGTGCCATGGATGGTGCCTAGTGTATGAGTGAGGGCATTTCAAACTCCTTTTTTCTATTCCTTTTTTAAGCCAAATAATTTTATCTTCACAGGATGCAAATTCAATTAAAAAAATATTTTATATGAAAAAGGCAGAGATTGAACATCATGAAATGGCTAAGTCAAGCCTTCGAATGAGGTAGGTTAAAAAATGTCTAAAATCCTTGTGCCTTTATATTTGCCAAATTTTCTAGTTAGTGAGATCAGTTCAGTGGGAAAAAAGATTTATGTTGCATTTCAAGATTATATATACACTTGAGGCAGCTCTTACCTAGCCCCTTCATTGCAGTTGAAGGGCTTTATTTAAAAGGAAACATCGTGTGTGTGCGTGTGTGCGCGCATGCATGCTTGCGTGCGTGTGCGTCCGTGCGTGTGTGTGTGTGTGTGTGTGTGTGTGGCTGGTATGGGGATATGAACCCATGACCTTGGTGTTATAAAGCCGTGCTCTAACCAAGAAAGGAAGTATTTTTTTTATGAGTTATCATTAATATATACTTTTATTGCTTTATATAAATATGAGTATATATGTATGTAATATGTATTACGTGTATAATATATATTATGTACACATATATGGTATTTGTATATATTATACAGTAGTATATATTTATATTTGTAGTAAGGGTATTTAGTCAGGTGTCAGGAGATCTAAAGTCTCATCCTGGATTTTACTTGTCTTAGAACTATGACTTTGAACAAGTCTTAGTTGTGGGATTCTGTTTCCTCCTACCTGAAGTGGGAAGGTTGCATGACTACTTGTGAAGCTTTCTTCTGCAGTGACCATAAGTTCTCTAGGACCTTCCCTGGTCTGTTCTCTTCTGCAGAGTCCTCCGGTCCTGGAGCAGAGCCTGCTGCATAAAAGAGGCTCAGAAATGTTTTAGCATTTCTATTAAGGAAAGAAGAAAATGGTTGTCTCCTATTTGTTTACCCAGCATTCTGATTTCAGCTATCAAGTTTCTGATCTTTTTATCTCATCTCTGGATAGGACTCCATCAAATTTGGCTTCAACCAGGCTGACAGGTCCTTCGCACAGTAAAGGCAGCCTTGGTGAAGAGAGAAATCCCACTAGCAAGTATTACCGGTGAGACAGAGAGTGTTTGGTCTGAGAACTGACCCATGCTTATGAAAATAGGCATACTAGTGTTTGCCTGATGCCTATCTTCTTTTTTTTTTTTTTTTTTTTTCCT